AAAAAAAAAAAAATGAGGGGGCTAGTCTAGATCTCAGGTTCTTTTCTGCACTAAGATTCTGTGATGTTTTATTTTATATATCATTACTTCCATCCTTAATCTTTAAACTATTAAAATTTGGTCTTGTAGTATGAAGTATTTGGTAATAGTTATAGGCAATACAGTTGTCAGACGGGCAAGTTTAAGATTTCCTGGGATCCATTCCTAACCCCTCTCTTCCCTAAACAGCGATATGTCATGATTCCTCAGCTTAAATTGTTACCTACTGTTGTGTAGCAAAATACCCCAAACTCAATGTGGCTTTAATTAAGAGCCATTTTAGTTGATTATGATCTTGGAATCTGGCTGCCTTCAGTTGGCCCATTCTTCTGCTGGTCTGGCCAATGGTTCCTTGTGTGGCTGCAGTTAGTTGGGAATTGGCTGGGGCTGGGCTCAGCTGGGATGCTGGCATGTCTTGGTCTCTTTCTCTCCAGGTAGTTTCAGGGATTCTTCCCCTCCATGTGGCCTCTTCCTGTGACTCTTATCTGTATGGTCACTCCATGTGGTCTGCAGCATGGCAGCCAGACTTCTTATGTGGTGGGTAAGAGCTTCCAAGAATGCTGAAGCTGCCATGCCTTTGCGAAGGTTTAGTCCCAGAGCTGTTAAAGCATCACTTTCACCACATTTGGTTGTTTGAAACAAGCCACAGGCCTAGTCCAGAGTTAAGGGCATGATTAAGGCGAGGCATGGGTCACTGGGGGGCCACACTACCATACTCACCTTTCAGGGCATTTACAGTTTTTTCCGTTTGTTGGTCCATATGATTAGATGAATTTATGAGTCTTCCTAGCATTTACATTTGGGCAATTTTTAGGCAGTCCTTTAAAGAATGGTGAAATATATAACATGGCCTATGTCATTTCATTTTGATTATGCTAACAATAGTTTCATTACAATACATTTATGGAAACAATAGTGTCTGAAAAGTTTTTTACAGTAGTCTCCCCTTATCTGCTGTTTCACCTTCCATGGTTTCGGTTACCTGTGGTCAACCGTAGCCCAGAAGCAGACAGAGCTCTTCCTGACGTAGCGTTAGCAGGTCAGTAGTAGCCTAATGCCAAGGCGCAATGCCTATGTCTTGCACCTCTCTTCCTCTCATCATGTAGGCATTTAATCATCTCATATCATCACAAGAAAACTGGGGCGAGTATAGCACAATAAGAAATTTGGGAGAGAGACCACAGTCGTATACCTTTTATTACAGTATATTGTTACAATTATTTAATTTTATCGTTAATCACTTGCTGTGCCTAATTTGTAAATTAGACCTTGTCATAGGTATGTATGTGTAGAAAAAAATATATGGGGTTGAGTACTATCTATGGTTTTAGGCATCTGCTCAATGTCTTGGGTCTTGGAACATATCCTTCTTGAATAAAGAGGGATGACTGCCTCTTAATATCTGAACATGTCTAGTCTTAACTGTTAAGTTATTCAAAAATTCAGGAATATTTATATTTAATATATTTTTTATATGCTCAGGATGCTCTCAGACTAGACAAAATAAATGAGGCTGTTGATTACATTTTTCTGTGCTAGCCAAAAATTAACCATTTCTGCTGAGAAATGGTTACTTCTTACTGATTTTTTTTCACTTTATTATTTTTTTGCATTTTCATGTCACAATATAAAGATAAACTATAGACTTTTTATGCTCTTTGTAGTTTCCAAATAAATGTCTTAAAGCTAGATTTTTATGTTCAGATCTTAAAACTTTTTGGATAACTTAGAGAAGTACAAAGGATCTGAGGAATGATTTCTTTGGTTTTTCTGTGCTTTAGATCACACTTAGTATTCATTCAGAAATCCATGTGACAAAAGGAGCTCATGATTGTTGAGACACAGACCATACGTGACTATAAAGGAGGCAGAAGCTCCATGGAAGAAATGCTCAGAATTGACTCCTCAGAAGTAATTTGCAAAAGAAGTGAAATTGCAGTTAAACTGCTTCTTAATGGAAACTGGATTTTAGCAAGTAGGGATGACTACCAAATTACACAGGAGAGATGATGCAGAAACTGTCCTATGCAGGACATTGCTTAAAAATCAAAGATGTACATGCTTTGTTTTGAAGGTGTGTTGTGTGTATGTGTGTGAACTGGACTTCAGATTCTATTTTGAAGGCTTTTTCATTTTGAATGAGAACCACTACTCATAGTGATGAGGATCCAACACCTGTACTCCTGTATCTCCTGTTGAACCACCTTGGAGTGGATCGAGACAGGGTAATCTACACTGCAAGCTCAGGACTTAGAGTAAAGAAACAGGTGCTCTGCCCTGCAGTCATAAAAGGAAAATTTCCCAAAAAGAAAGTGACCCAAATTCTTTGCCTGTTTAGAAGATAACTAGATATTTCAAAACCAAATGTAGAAACTTATAAGTATTCAAGAAATGTTGGCATGGAAGTGGGTAGAATTCACTGTGTGAATTTAGAAATCTTTGAAAATTAATTAAAGTTTGATGATTTTGCTTTTCATAGGTATACCCAGAAAAGTGATGGAAAGGATAAGGAATACGAATTACTTCTGGATCAGTCATGTGAAATCAGGCAAATTAAACTTAAATTTATTTTTACTATCTTACTATACTTATAATATTAGAAGCACAAGCATACTAGTCTTCTAAATATATTGTTGCTTGTCTGTTTCTTTTAAATAATTATTTTTCCTTTTCTTTGTTTTATTCTTTAATATTTAAATAATTTTAGTCTTTAAGTATTTTTTATGATGTTCCTACTTATAGTTCACATTATCAGTATAAAAATATCCTGAATTTATTATTGTTAATTATGCTTTTCCTTTGAGTTTACTTGAAACTAAAAATGTATCTTTAAAATTTTTCCTTTATGTATTTGAAATAAGTCTCTACTGTGATAGTTTGTTGCTCTACAATTATGCATTTATTGAAGAATTTTTATTACAAATCTTTAAAAAGTTTCATTTTAACCTTTGTTAATGAACATAATGTTTTTTAGCTACTGGCAACCAGTATATTTACTTGTAAGCAGTTATATTCTGCTTTTCTCATTTAATATTGTTTCATATACATATTTCCATTCATGTCATGGTTCATGGCTGCCTCTTTTTAGCTATTACAACCCATATTGGCATGAATTACTTTGTATAAATCACCTTTTTCTTGCTTATTCCTTGTAATATGTGCCAAAACAGAATTTCTGGCTTAAAGGATGTGGGATGTTCTTCAAAGTATATTAATATAGCCAGGTTACACTCCACCTACCTTCATAAAAATGGTGAACCAGTTTCTAAGCATCCCTGCCAAATACTGACTTCTAATTTCATATCTTCCTTTCATCATGTGTAAAATACAAAGAACACATGTGAGTCTGTGTATTATATGGTCATTAATAAAGCCTGTGTATTAATGTGTGTATATTAGGCAATATGTGTATTGTTAGTATATGTATATTAGGCAAGAAGTTACTCTAGAAAATGTATGTCAGTCTTTTTATGGCATGATTTCCAAACTAACTGGCTTAAGCCTTGTTATCTCAGTGGTTAAGTTTTTTTTCAAGAAGTTCTTTTTCTTAATATCTGCAGTAATCCATTTACAAACGAGAAAATGAAAATAGAAGCGTGTATAAAGAAAGGGAAAGAGTGTTATGAAGAGAGTCTTCAGAGATCTGTGGCTGCAGAGGTGAGTCCAGGACTCACTCAAATGTGTCTGAGGGATAAGGCAGGAGGTCATTTGTTCACTCTGTGTTTATTACATATGAGCCAGAAAAACATGGCTGAAAAGTGGGAGGCTAAGTGGTACCCTGTTGCCCATAATCCTGCCTCCCTGAAATGACCACTCATTCCTTGCCTCAGCTTTTTAATTTTTTACCCTTATCTTTATATTGTATTACATACCAGTACTCACAGTGTAACCAAATTTTGTAATCTGCTTTTCTTTTTAAATATTATAGTTAAGTTATTTTCCATGCTTTATACTTCGAATGGCTTCATATTTAGTCAAGTGATGTACCATGAAGTAGCCAACCATAGAACGTATTTGCCAGTACTAGAAAAAGAACTTGAAATAATCCATTTCTTAAGAATGTACTCTCTTCTTCCCCCAGAATATATACTGTTGGTATATACTATTTGAGAAACTGCTGAGACAAAAATCAAAACAATGACCAAAATAAGTGGCTATATTTTATTTAGTTCTTGAAACATAGTTGTCTTTGTCTACCTAATTGAGAAGTAAATGTTATTTATTATTATATGTGCATATGATTATTCCGGGAAAAGAAGCAAAGATTTTGCTTGCTTAATTAGCATGTCTACAAACACGAAGCTTTCAATTAAATATCAACTCTGCAGCTGCTTCTAAGGAAAGAAATGTGGGGGGGACCCAAAGTCCCCACACTTTGTGGGTCCTGTGCCGATGCAGCGCCCTCTCTGTATAAATGTTTGTTCCCATGTACCACACTGTCTGGCAGCAGGTTTGCCCAGTGGGCCTTGTCAAGGTTCCTGACACCTGCGTGACAGCAAGGCAGTCCTTCATTTTCTGCAGTGACTCGTGAAAGTGGCTGGTTAGCTTGCGGGGAAGCCAGAGAGTCTCATGTTTTTAAAACATGCCCCAGAGGCTTCTAGTATCCTTTCTGAGAAAAACTTCTCTGAGGCCTCTGTATCCAATAGGGTGGTGCCTTGGGGTTATTCTGCAGGCCCCTGTCCCTCTGCTCACCATAGACAGGACCCTAGAAGACGTACACCAGGTGTATACACATAGGTAACTTCTCTCTCTGCTTATATATGGCTTAAGCAGTAAGCCATGTAGACAGTTTTACATATGAGAGACGTATCACTTAAGGTACATAATTTACATTTTGTAACTGTTTTCAGATCAAAAAACTTTTTAGTTCATATTCACCTGTGTAAACTTACAAAATAATTCAGTTCTGGTGATTCTGTCATATGTCATTTAAAAGAAACTTGAAAGTGGTTTAGAATATTTAAGTTTTAATAACCTTAAAATAGTTTCTGTTTTTCAGTTTTAAAGTACTTGTGTTCCTTCATCTAATGATAGGTATCTGTGCTTGAAAACTGGAAAGAGATGGAAATGTACAAGTTAGAGGTCATGGAATCACAAGTAGAAGGGTATCTTCAGAGCCTGAAGCTAATGAGCAGGTACTGTGTGGTGCCACAGGTATCTTCCCAGCCTGTCATTCAACGGGCAATAAAGTTAGAGCTGAACTGAGAAAAAAATGTTGCATTGGACAGGACCATTTTATTTTCAACATTTGTACAATTAATGTGTATTGAATTGCAGAAAAATCAAAACATATGAACAATAATGATAAAGATTATCCATAATTCTAAATTGCAGTATAACTAGTGAGTATTTTGCAATAAATTCATTATTTGAAAAAAATGAAAATTTATATATTTTTTTTCACTAAGTAGTATAAAGGAAACTTCTTTCCTATAACACTTAAATTTTTCCAACCTAGTGTTGAAAGGTTGAATAGTATTCTAGTATTCTAGCAAACAAACATGTCATGATTTATCAAACTCCACTGTGTGGGCTAGTTCACTTGTTAGCATGCTTTGTCAATAAAAGCTGCACTATAGCGAGTATCCTTGTAGCAAAATTTTTATGCACATTATTAATCATTTCCATGCAGTAAATTTCTGGAATGAAGATCATGTGTCAAGGCTTTTTAAACAGTTCATTTTCTGCAGTGACTCGTGAAAGTGGCTGGTTAGCTTGCGGGGAAGCCAGAGAGTCTCATGTTTTTAAAACATGCCCCAGAGGCTTCTAGTATCCTTTCTGAGAAAAACTTCTCTGAGGCCTCTGTATCCAATAGGGTGGTGCCTTGGGGTTATTCTGCAGGCCCCTGTCCCTCTGCCTGCAGAATAACCCCAAGGCACCACCCTATTGGATACAGTTACTATCAGTCTTAATAGTAGAGTATGGGAATGTCACTTTGAAAGATCCATGGATGGTCATTTTGTCAACTCACCATAATCTTTACCTGCTTGTGTTTGCTTTGCTTTGTTTTTGGAGTAAGGTTTACCTGGGAATCCTGGAGGGTCTTCCTCAGTCTAGCATTTAGCACTTTTCTGTGTGGATTTGTGCACATGGGATTACTTTTCAACTGATCCTTTTATCATAGCCCACATAGTTTTGACTTTTTAATCCCAGATTTTTCATCCTTCCAAGTGCTTTTTGATTTAAATGTCAAACCATCAGTGTTGAACTAGAGATTGTTTGGGTCATGGAAAAACAGCTTCAATGTATAGTTCTTTATTGCTTCATTTCTCAAGATTTAGTTTTTCACATGAGAAAAACCTTCCTGATTACAGGCAAACTAGTATGCTGACTCAGATTACAAGAGGAGTGCAGCTGAGGTTGGGGACCAAGTGGTGCTCAGATGCCTGTGTTCAGTAGGCTGTGCTCTGGGGTGCATCTGGGAAACATGTCTCAGACCTCATTTTGTCTAATAGTGTCGACTTCTTATTAAGCCTACAGTATACAAGCTTCTTTCTTAGGGATTCTGTGCTAACTCTGCCCATAAATAATAGCAAAAGAGAAGAGATGTAAAAGAATGTTCTGGTTTTTCTTTAAGATGTATAATGTGAACTGACACAATCATGGATTGACAGTGGTATTGACTTTCTCAGTTAGGAGTAGAAAGCTTGTCTGTCCCTTCGAATAGACCAGATTCATGAGGTGCTGACATCATAAACTTATTGTAGTCTAACAGGCCCCACCCTTTATTTTATGGTAAGGTGGGGGTGAGGGTTTTATTGAAATGTTTTAAATATTCCAGACTGCCTCTTTTTTTTCTTAATACAAAGACCACCTTTGATGTTAAACAAGATGTTAAATGAAGAATGGTCAAATTTTCAAATAAAGGGAAAGAAATTAAAATTCAGGAGAATATTTGTTCCCTGCCCACCAGTTTCAGTTAGATCAATAATTAAAATTTCCTGAAGTGTTTCCAGTGGTGAATTTTTAAGATACATAATTCTTTAAAAATAGTTGGGTTTTCTGGTGTATGATCATGTTAAATACATCTTTCTCTTATGTTTGAATGCTTGTTTTCATTTATACTATAGTAATTTTAATTTTTAAAATTTCTAAAACAAATTAAGCAGTTTCATATTTTTCTACTTTTTCAGCGATTCTGCAGCATATCCTGAAATGGAGTCTGATGTACATTCCTGGGAATCCTTTCTTTCTAATGTTAGAAAAGAAACTGAGAAAACAAAGGTAAGTTATAAAATACTTTATAATTCTGTCAAAAAACTACATTGATGGTTATAATTCTCAGGAGGCTAGTGTCACTGAAATGATTTCTTTCTTGAGCTCTTAAAGGCAATATTTTCTTTGTTGTAAGTATTAAGAACTTTTCATGAAAGTTAAAAATTCTGTTCTCTTAATTAACTAGCTTAAACTTTACCGTTTATTGATAAAATTAGAGAAGCTCTGCTTGATAAGGCCGTAGAGAATCCTGATTAATGAGGTCTTATCTTGAACTTACTTCCTTACAAGAAGTAATTGTTCTAATACTTTGCATCTCAGTTATATTTCATAGAAAATTGTTGACCACTCTAGTGTATGAATGTATGTAAGAAAAAAAGTGTTATTTGACAATGGTGGTGTTGCCCTTGGAATTTGTTAGAAAAAATTTAACACTATTCCTTCTATCTACAGTCTCAGTTTGAAGAACAAATTCAGGCAATTAAAAATGGCTCTCTGCTCAGTGACCTTCCTAAAGTGCAGATCTCCGAGCTCTTACTTCTTGCCTATAGCACCGTGAGTCTTGTTAAATCTTTTTTTTTTTTTCTTAAGGGAAGAAAATAAAACATAATGAACCACAGTTTCTTCCCTAACTGGCCCAAGTGGTTTGTTGTTTTCTGGGAGTGGGGATGAGGTGGATTAATAATTACCTCACTGTTTTCATTATTGGTGCTACTGGTTAACCTTTAGAGAGCTATACTAAACATTCCTTTATAAGTGGAAGGTCAGTCTTTCTTCATCTAGTATATCCATCTTTTCTGGATTTTGGTGTGTTTTTCTGCATTTGAATGAATAATCCAGGAGCAGCAGGGACCTGTCACTGAGGTAGGCCCTTTCTTTAATACCACTTCAGGTAGAGTCTTTTTTCTTGGCAATTTAGGTCTGTTTCCTTATCAACACAGAATGGAAACTGCTGTCCTGAGACATACAAGGGCTCTGTTGGTCTGAATGTCATATTTTACTGGCTATTTTGAGGTACTTGCTGAATCTTTTGAATAATAGTGATTCCCAAACCCTGTCTTTTTATTTTAAAATATGCAACACAGTTTATTTTTTGTGGACTTTAAAATATGGCTAAACCTACTATCACTTTACTGTATTTTGGGTACATATTTCTTATTTGGACACAGACACATACTTCACAAATACTAAATTGCAGTGAAGCCCAAAGGAGATAATATTGTTAAGAATTGAAAGACTATATTCAAGAGTTAAGAGGTAGGTTTCAGAATATTTCGGCATGGCATGGAAATCTTCTGGTTCTGAGATAGTCTCTTATAAAGGAGAGACTGTTTTCCTCAGCTCATGATTTTTACCTTCTTGCTACTGCCAGGCCTTTGCCGAGGCTATTCCCCAGCCTGGACTACCATCCTAACTGTCCACATTCTGTCTTTTCCTGAAAGCCCAGTCACAGTTGTCCACCCTGTGACCCTTATATCATATGCATTTGGTCTCCTTAACTTGGATGACAGGCTCCCTACAATCCGGACCCTGTTCTTGAAAGTCTTTTTTCTCACCAGAACCTTGCATGCTAAGCATTTAAACTTACTGTGGCTTCATCTGAAAAAAAAAAAAAATTGTTTTAATGTTAAAATTTAGCCATTTTGAACAGAGTAAAATATTCTGTTGAGATCCAAAGTTTTTTCTCTCCATTGAGTAAGAAAGAGCTTTATTTAGAAGAAAATTAAAGCTCAACTTATCATTAGTGTTTCCAAGTTCTTACAGCAGAAATGGAGGGGAAAAAGGATAGATCTCAGAGAAAGACAAATACCATATGATTTTACTTATATGTGGAATCTAAAAACTAAGATGAACAAACAAAACAGAAATAGACTCATAGACACAGAGAACAGACTAGTGGTTGCCACAGGGGAGGAGGGTAGATGGATGGATGAAATAAGTGAAGGGGAGAAAGAAATTGATTCAGTAGATTATTTTAGTATTAATTTTTAATTCTAGCTTGTGTAGTTATATAAATACTCAAAAGAATTTTAATATACAAACCTTTGGGAGTTCTCAGTGTGCCAAGAGCTTGAGTAATAACAAGTATCTCTAAAAACCATTTACACGGGTGTCATTTCTCCTCCATTCATTCATTGGGTAGTTAGTGGTGGTCAAAATTAGATGTGGTCTGTGCCCTCAAAATGCATATGGGTTTGGGAGGAGACTTTAAGCCCATATTTACAAGAAGAGCATGCCAAGTTTTTCATAGCGTAGAATGCTATGGCAGTGTAAATCAGGGGGCACTGACCTCACCTAGAGGTCTAGGCCTCAGTGGAAGAGGCCCTGTTGGAGGTCTCAGTGAGTCAGAGACCTGGGATGGGAACTGACCAAATGACAGGAGCAAGTGGGTGTGTGTTTGAGGAAGGGTGTGTGGTGTGATGTTTGGAGGGTCACAGTGTTCCAAGTGAAGGAACAGCATACTTGGAGGCTAAGAAAAAAGACAGAACACAGTCCTTTCATGGATGTAAAAGCTGCTCAGTAAGACAAAGAGGGCTGTCGTGAGAAAAATTGTAACAGTGTCCTGGGGCCACAATGAAGGGGAGCCTTGTTCTATAAAGTGTGTTCAGCAGTATGGACTTTTCCTCAGGCCACTAGGAAGCTAGTCTAGGCTCAAGTAAGGGGATGACATCAGCTTTTTGCTTTCATACTTGCCGGCTGTGTGGGGATGTGGTAGGAGGGGCCTGAGTGATTTCCACCTGGGCAGCTAGTAGCTCGCTGTTAGCAGCCGTGTCCTGAGGGTGGCAGTGGGGCCAGGGGAGAGAGCAGATGAGGCAGACTTAGAAGGGGCCATGGAAATGACCGTACTGCTTGTGGGATTGAGGGCCCAGTGTGTGTTGGGTTGAGAGTGGATCTGGGTTTCTGGTAGTGGGGTGGGCACCAGAGGAAGAGCAGGGCAAGAAGGCTGCCGAGGCTGGCTTTGAAGACATTGAGCTTGAGTGGCCTTGTAGTCACTCATGGACATTTGCCCATTAGGAAGTTAGGATTTGCAGATTTGGATCTCAGGAAAATATTCTAGACTGGACTCTTTTCAAATGTAGGCATTATCAGCAGTGAGCATGTAGTCACTGGGGCATCAGAGAATGGAATGGCCGGGGAGAGGGTGTCGCGGGAGGTGGAGATGTGCGCCTCCGGCAGCGTAATGAGGAGCATCGTCACTGAAGGCGAAGAGCCGTGGTGACTCCTGCGGAGGGCCCCAAACAGGAAGCCCTGGTGTGGAGCCGTGAAGAGCTCATTCTGAGAAAGAGAAGGTAGAGCAAGTTTTTAAAACAAAACATTTAATTTATTGTATTCAATTTCCTGTGCACCTGAGCCACCCAGGTTTCATCCTAGTCATGCTTAGTCATCAGTCTTTGTTCACAGATGTTTCTCTTGTGACCCAGCTTCTGTGGTGTGTTCCTCACAGATTCATCCTAAGTCACTTTCTGAGTCTTCAGGCGGTGATAATCAAGGTTCCTCCACACCTACAAGTCATGGGACTGGAAACCAAACAACACTTCCCAAGGATTCACGTCTGGTCTCTGCCAGTGATGGCCCAGCAGGGGCTCCCTCTCCCCCATTGCCAGGATCGCCCTCCTGTCAGCTGGAAGTCACCCAGGTGCCAGAGTGTAAGCACTCTGGCCCTGCGCTTCAGTCAGAACAAAGCCTCGTGGCTGATCAGAAACTAGCTGTTGCTCCAGGACGAGCTACCCGCTCAAGCCAGTCTCCAAAAAAGCCATTCAATAGTATTATTGAGCACCTGTCAGTGGTATTCCCATGTTACAACAGGTACAAATGGAAAATGTCTGTGACTCTGTTAAGTCTGTTACTGAACTGAGGTTTCCTGATCAAATAACATTATGGCCAGTAAGGGGCTGAAGTGGAAAGGACTGCATAATTATTTCACTCAGAAAAATGGTGCTACTTTTTTTTTCTTTGTAAACATGGAAATGAGCATTTTCAAGTAAACTTTTTAATGTGCATATCTAGATTGGAAACACTGAACACTGGTTAGTCAACAGTCAGTCATTAGAACCATAGCAGTTTACTAAGATTTGATGAGATCAATAACATGCTTCCAACATGGGGTCAGTAAGTGAACTACAAAACACTAGCTTTGTATCATTTAGGGGGAAAAAATACCACATAAAGCAAAGAAGGCAGCAGCAACTGCTTTGATCAGGAGCTTGTTGGAGGACACCTCTGATTTGTTGGAGGTGTGAGGTTGGCGAGACCAGAAAGAATTCAATAGTGAGCCAGGTGCGCGGGCACATTACAGAGGGGTCGTGTAGGGGGAGCTTGAACTGGTCGCCAGCGCTGTCAGTTGGATGGGGAGTGGCCGTCGCTCAGCAGCGCTTCTGCCTCACTCCCCAGGCTGGTGCGAGGTGCAGAGGTGCTCCTCGTCTCAGCCTGGAGAGATGAAGTGGGGGGAATGTCTCTGGGATACAACCTTGAAGAGAGGAATCCACAGCCCAGAGTGACCCTCTGTACTTCCCATATTTTTTCTGTCTTTGATATAGTGTTAGTTACAGGCTTTGAAATTATACTTTTGAAACCAATTAGTGATTAAATTATACTTTGCCAGAATTATTGTTTTGCATCTACTGGTGGAGCCCCTTCCATTAGGAAATAAGTATATTTTGCACATCATACTCAGCCCAGCTGAAGCTTGAGAAGTGTTACAAGTTCTCTCAATGGCAATTACTATGCCAGTTCTTAAAAACATTCAAGTTATAATTGCCAGAAGTACCTTACAAATAAAATTGTTCACAATCCTAATTAAATTTGGCAATTTAAACAACCAAATTGAAATGCATCCTTATTTTCTGAACACTAAAACATTTGAGTTGTTAATGTTGCAAATATCAAGTTCCTGTTGATTAATGGTTAGATGGTTAGATTTTTTAAGGGAGGAAGTCAACAAAGTAGTTTCCTTAGGTAAGGAGATATTAGTGATTTCATATCAGAACCCAGTAGTGTCTGATTGTCCAGTGATTTTGCATAAAGCTACAATGTACAAAGTCAAATTTCTAAGTAAGGGTGTATATCCCAAAAAGAATAGCAGATATACTGTTACTGCTATTAAAAATAAGTATTAGAAATTTTATTAAATATTTAGAAATAATATTGGAATTTTGGAATTTTCATAACTATTTGGAGTGATACTGTTGTTATTATATGCAGTTCCTATTGTTTACAAATTAATTTTGTATGTATTTGGTTTTGTTTCTTTTAGCTGTTGGGTTAATATTGGCACATGACATTTAGCAGTACGAAACCTTGACTCCCTCTTGTCATTTATCCCTGCTTTCCCTTTCAGCACAGAGCTTGCTGGTTTTATTAAAAGAGTCCGAAACAAAAATAAAAATTCACTCTCAGGATTGAGTATTGATGAAATTGTCCAAAGAGTGACAGAACACATTCTAGATGAACAGAAAAAGAAAAAGGTCAGTGTCTCTTCTAATCACAATAAAATGTCCCACTTTATCCTTATATATTTACAAAATATGAGAATTGTAAAACAAACAAACAAATGCTCCCAGCCAAAATGTGACGAACAGTTTAGTAAAGACAGAAGTTGGTCAAGCTTTTGGGTAACTAAACTTGCTTCTCCCTGTTTTATCTCTGTAGGCAAATCCAGGAAAGGCCAAGAGGCTGGGTGAGCTCAGCTCCCCTGCTGCTTTGACCGAGGCCTCCCAGGGCCCGCCCTCCATGATTGATGGGCCACCACCCAGAGCCGTGGGGCAGAATGCGGAAGATGTCCTTGTGAGTGTTACAAGTGTGACTGACTGTAGAGCCAGTTTTATTTTTTTAATGAAGAACAAGAAAGAAACAAAATTGTTAGGCCATTATTTAGCCCCCATCTTTTCATTTCTATACCTAATTTTTTTAAATCTTGAAATTAGAAACTAAATTTAGATGTACTTAAGTGTCCTGTTAGAACAGTTAGTGAATGGCCAGATTGTCTCTTTACTTTTAGAGGGGCCCCTGCGTGAGAAGACAAGGAGATGGGAAGAGCTCCGACCACACTGTAGGAACCAGGCCTGCAGATGGTCAGATACGTTAATTTTTTATACCAAATATAAAAAATGGGGGAAATGATTTTTAGATAATTTTCTTGTACGCGACCACAGACCTTGGAATCACACAGACTTGGTTCTGGATCCTCTCTGCTTGCTCAGGTGGTCGTCTAGATGAAGTGCTGGAATGGAATTGCCAGGGTCAGGCTCTGTGCTCAAGAAGGGCTGGTGTCCTCCCTTTCCTCTCCCCTCAAGTGTCTGTGGGGGACACCAAAATGGGATAAACTTGCCTTTGATTTGACATACAGATTTAAATTGTTTATTGTCCTTTTAATAAGAATGTTACATTAACATAGAAATTTTTATAAAATACTATTATATCTATGATCTCAATAAGGCATTGTAATTGTCTCTATTTTACAAATGAGGAAACTGAGGCCCAGGTGACTCATGCAGTTTGCCAGCGTTCTTTCACTTGATTGCACGTGCAGCGTGTAATTCCCTAACCCTCACTGCACCGACCAGCTGATGCTGGGGCCCCTGCAGTGGGGACCATGTGGCTCAAGGAGAGGCCATCACCCGTGTGGCTCAGGGCTGCAGGTCCAGATTGAACTTGGTGTGGAGTACATTTTTCCCTTTTGTCCAACTATGATATCAGAGCTTAGATGAAATCGAAATTTGAAGAGTTACAGGCCCCAAGTGGAGTCAGTACTGCCTGATTGCATAGAGGGCTTATTTGGTGACTTGAACTAAGCAGTAAATCTTTCTGTAAACTTAGGTTTTTATTCCGCCTGTAGATTTTCACTATCCACTATGCTTTGGAGATTTTCCGTACCACGTACACTCACATCCCAGAGAATCTCCCAGTGAGAAGGCTTATGAACATACAGAGCATTCCTGCGAGGCCTGGCTGGGGTCCCCTCCCCCTCCCTCTCCCTGGGGTGTCCCTGACTTGTCCTGTGCTCTGCGGTCCTCCAGCCAGGCCAAATCCTCAGAGCAGTCTCAATATCGTTTGAGGTGTGTGTGTTCATTGGCCACCCTGCCACACAGTCACCTTCAGGGAGAGATCACTTCTGTTTGATGTTGATAATAAAGATGTAAAAGCTGACTTATAAGAAAAATATGTATTCAAACTGGGAATTAGTTTGATAATCAAAGGTAGTTTTTAAAAATTAAAAGTAGTTTGCCTTATACTTTTAAATTACAAAAGTAATAGGTGTTCACAATGTAAAATACAAATAAAAAGCATTTAAAGAACCCCAAACCCACACTTCTAAGGTGACCAGTATTGTCATATTGGTATATGTTTTTCTTAACTGTATAAATACCTGTATGTGAAGTTAGTGGAAACTGTACGTACTTTTTGTATCCTTTTTTTTTTTCACTTAGAAATACATTGTGCCCATCGTTCCATCCTAGGGAATAGTCAAGTTAACTATGGTCTTTTCAAACCAAACCTAGCTCTGAACTTTGCAGTAACCTGTCCTTCCCCAGGGTTGATACATCCATTCCCCCCCCACCTGCTGACCTTCCTCAGGGGCCCCAGAGAGGAGTGAGAGAACCTCATTCCACTGCACCTGTCCCATTGCTACCTGGGCAGCATCAGTGCCATGGATAAGACAGAAGAGCACATCTAACAGTTCAGGTCTTCACAGCCTTCGTGCATTGCCCCCAGCTTCACCCCACGTCTAACCCACTGCCAGGGCTGCGCTCATTCACTTGCTTGACAGTTCATGGAGCATCAGTTTGGGGCCACGTTCCTTGCCAACTTCCAAGGACACAGTTAAACCAGGCTCATTCCCTCCTGTCAGGCTGCTCAGTTGAGAAGGGGCAGAGTTAAAAATCCTGGTGCCACGTGAGGTATATGCTGCGAGCTGTAGGGAGAAGTGTGCCTGGGGCCCTGGGGCACGCTCTGGCTCCACTCTCATGTGGGAAATGCCGTCCGTGCTCACCAGACCGTGAGCAGCTGGAGCCGGAGCCCTCCTTTCACCTCGATGTCCCAGCATCCCAGAGTCCCTGACTCTGGATGTTTGCTGAATGAGCCAGCATTTTGTTTTGTTTGGATTTACACAAGTAATCCACCTTCATAGAAACTTTATAAAATCTCAAAGAAAACAATTAAATCTCTCTTAACCAAAAGTAATCACTGTTAACATTTTATATCTTTCCAAATTCTTTAATAGGCATTTCTATATATACACATTCTCTTTATTTTTTAAGCCATTATCATATGACACATACCATTTTGTAACCTGCTTTTGGTTTGTTTTTTTTTTTCATTTTTTTATTAAAGTATTGATATACAATCTTACGAAGTTTTCACATGAACAACATTATGGTTTCAACATTCACCCATAGTATCAAGTCCTCACCCCCACTGTTGCAGTCATTATCAGCATAGTAAGATATACTGCTCTTATTTAGAGAGCTGTTTGTGACCAGTTTCCTGTGTCAGGGATTGTGGATTTCCATCATGATTTTAATCAGCCCCATAATAGCCCATAGCATGGATGTCATAATTTATGTTACTGTCCTCAACTATTAGGTAATTAGATGAATAATTTGTCATATTCAGCTGGTATCTTACTATAGGTGTGGGTTGGGATAAATAGGTATTTGTAGTACTTTACCTGAGAATCTTAACCACATGAAACTTTTTTTTTTCCTCTGAGAAAGTTGAATTTTAAAAGTATACCTTTCCTTTTATATGTTTATGTTTTTACTTAAGAAATGCTGTTAAAGGATAAGTGTTCCCTCAGTCCTCTTAGCTATCATGGAGAATAATTTGCCACTTTAGTTGAAAGCCACTTGTAGGAAGAGCTCATGTAGTAAATAGGAATTTAGTTATTCTTTATTATTGGAATACGTTTGTTCCTACAGGCTTTGGGAGCAAATTCTTGTGAAATATGCCATGAAGTGTTCAAATCCAAAAATGTGCGTGTGCTAAAATGTGGGCACAAGTTTCACAAAGGGGTAAGAATTCTCTTTGGTTATTTTCGTATCTTACATTTTGACTATTAAATATTTTGAAAATTAAAAAGACTTTTTTCCCATAGGCATCAATACTTCTTTTGTGTTCAAAGCATTTTCTTTGTAAACCTCCTTGTGTCAGTGCTCATTGTCTCTCTTTGCAAAGACTGCTGCTGTGGACAGGGGGAGAGGATTCTTGGGCTCTGGGGTGCACAGCTCTGCAGACTGTCCTTCCCATCTGTCACATAGTGTGTCTCAGAGAAGAACAGTTGGCTCCATCAACTGCATTGGTGCTGAAATTCCAAACAAGATGTTAGTTTTTTGAAAGGTGATTTCTCATACACATTGTTAAATAGATATACAGTGCAACAGTTTGTCAGTTTAGTGCAGGATATGAAATAAGTTTTAACATTTTAGAGGAGAAAAACTAAACCTAATTAGATCCCATATTATGCCTGATGCTGGGAGATTCTGGCTTGTATCTTTCTGAGATCTGTTGGTAACTGTTTTGGCATTTTGGGTGCTGTGAGTGTTCATGCTAAACCCCTGCTGCTGGGTTATAACAGATCAAGTCTCTGGCATGTCAGTTAATTAGTTCCTGAGAAAAGGGATAGATACAATAAACTCCCCAGAAGGGATCAAGACAGCTTGCAAAATCTAGTACATGGCCTGTCTCCTCAGGTAGAGGGGTTTCGTGCCTGGTTGCTCAGACCAAGACCAGGCAGTATGGGAATGGGTTAAGAACTGGGTGAGTGAGCTCAAGGGCCAAGAAAATGCCAACTGTGGAAGTCAAGGCATCTGAATCACCAGACTGGGACCAGAGAGGGGAGAAGGTGGGGAGGACAGGTCAGGTTGGGGCCCAGAGTTCGTGGGTCAGATTATGAGGCAGGATCATTGGTTCTTGAGGCTTGGTCCACACTCCTGCCCTGCGTAGGCATTGGGTTGGGTGACTACAGACCCCACCAAGCCTCAAGGTGAAGTCATCCATGTCTGCCAAGTGGCAGCACAGGAGCACTAAAGGCTCCTTGTGCTTCTAAAAGCATCAACTGATTTCATTTTCTCCTTTTCAGTGCTTTAAGCAGTGGCTTAAAGGGCAGAACGCTTGCCCAGCCTGCCTCAGTCACGATCTCCTGTCAGAAGACTAGCCTGCAGCTTCCAGAAGAGGCCAGCCTGCTATTCTAGGTAGACACACTTCACTGAAGAGTCATTTACTGGTTGTTGAATTGGAAGAATAACAACTTAGTACTTTTGGTATAAAAGGCAAACATTTGAAGATTCTTTGCACTGTGTGTCACAGTGCTGATGAATGGAAATCTTTAGTATAGTTTATACTGTTTCCCCACTCTGATTAAACACTTCAATAATAGTCAAATAGTGGCTAATAAAATTATGTGTAACCACATTATTATGTAATTGGGGCTGCTTACAGAGGTAATCCGAGGTGGAAGCTGCTTTTGGAAAGTACTGTGAACACCTCAAAGCAGTACTTGGATTATAACTATTCTTGACCTATTATAGTGCCCCAGGTTAAATTTTTGTGTGACAGTCAGTGTTCCTGAAAATACGCTTACGTTTTTCTTCAAAGCTTCTGCATTTAAAAAATGGGCTTAAGCAAACCACATTTTAATAATTTGTAATCAATGTTAAATTACTGGCTGGTGTAGACCAAAAGATTCAAATCTCCTCTCCATGAAACATCATGTGATTTGATTTTTCATTTCATTTATTTCCCCTAGAAGATCTGTAAAGTGCTTATTTTTTATTTTCTACATATGTAATCTGTTTTTGAAAATCGGTTACAAAATGCTTTCTTATTACTATCAGCTAAGATGTTTTTGCCCCTGAGATCAAGGCTACATACTCATCACCCTACCCCAAATTTGGAATACCTTACTATTCTCATTAGTGGCATTTATCTTTCTTCATGAGTTAGACAACAAGTCTCTGGGTGTCTCTGTCTAGCACACAGCAGGCTCTGTGGGGAAACAGTTACCATCACCCCACCACCAAAAAGAGACACTTGTGTAATTGGACAGTCCTGAGGTGTCCGTGTTAAAATTGTTCTGTGTTCAATATTCATGTGAAATAATGCATGCTCTCTTGTACTGTAGCCTAGAAAAAACTGTAACTGCATTAGAAACTTGAAAAAGTATATATCTTTAGTGACTTATAGACAATAGTTAATATAGAAACATGAATTCTGGACACATTCCATTTCCTTCAAACAATAAGTATCAAAAAACGTTTCTCAGTGCGTTCTCTGTTTCCCAGAAAGCTCAGAGTCCAAGCTCATGAGCTGATTTGGTTGCCCTCCTCTGCTTTGGTTCCCATGAGTTTTGATGTCATGGTGACTTAGTCCATAGAAGCTCACTCCATTTTTTGAAGCAGATTCTCCATGCAGGACCCTAAAACATTGTCTGCATGTTCGTGACGAAAACTGAAACCTTGTCGAGATTAACTGTAGGTGGTAGAGACCAGTTTGTGGCATCAGGTACAAGGGAAAAGAAGAACAGCTGGAGAATGAGAGAACATGGTTTGTACATAACTTCAAGCAAATACTTGTAAACATGCCTTACATGTGTCCTCTAAGTGTCAAAATAAAGAACAATCTAAAATAAAATAACATGTTTACTGTCCTCCTTGTACATTCTTTCTCAATTTTTAAAAAGGACTCTCCTGGAAAATTCAGGACGTGTATATTATGGTAACATTTTTAAGTGACTTCGTTTGGAAAGAAGAACCATGTTATGTCCAAGGAATCTAACCAAGCATCTTAGGACATTTTAGAACCTGGATCAAAACTTCCTTTATGTCTAAGTAAAGGTTGCTAAATTCAAGTTCACAAAATAGACTATTTAAATTTATGAATGGAAAGTTTATGCAGAGATGATAAGAGTGTTTACTATTCTGGGCTAAAGTAAGAGATTCTTCATATGAATAATTACAAGAATGTTGAAGTTAAATTGCATTCCTCAGTATTTTTTTTTTTTGAGACATTTGTGGATTCATGGACTGTTGAAGTTGATCAGTATTGAAGAAAGTCAGTACTATCAGTATGTGTTTATAATCTGATAGCATTTAATTAAAATAATGTATAACGTAAAGCAATGACTGTTCCTAAGAGTTGAGATTATTTTCCCTATGGAAAAGCTTATGTATGCTATAGATAATGGATAATCCAATATAAAATTGAAATGGTGCCCCAGCAATGAAAAATGTTGATACATTTTTAAGGTAATTTCAAAGACTGTATAGTGGAAGTGGGTGGGCCAAATGATTGACCATAACACTGAGCAATGAAGCTGTTCTAGGTGGTTTTTCAATCAGATGACCCTCTCTGGAAAAATGGATTAAAGGAAACAGAAGTAATAATAGCAAAGGTGGAAGTGGCTTTCATCAGCATGAGGTACTTGCTGATGAGGCTGATAAAGCAGACAGTAAACTGTGTGGGGATGGCTTGTCAGAACAAGCAGCAAAACATCTCCAAATGACCCTTCATGGAAGAAATGGGAAATGCATTCAGGGGTTTTAAACTGTAATCAAACTTAATTAATAAATGTTAATCAAACTTTATTAAGAAATTAATTGTAAAAAGAATTGATCACCAGACATGTCTGATCTCTTTCGTATTTTCTCCTCTTCACTGATGAGATCTGAGAGATGTCTGCCCTCATGTAGCCTATGCCTTAAGTGCTTTGCTAAGGATGCGGCAGGGCATGGAAACTAGTGAAAGCTGGTTTCAGGTGGTGAGGAGGACTTTGGAGAAGCATCACGGAAAGTATGTAGATTATAGTAAGATTCTTGTTCAGTATTTAGCATAGTGCCTTGCACATAAACCCTCGTAAAGGGGGCAAGTAATCATTATTAAGATTCGGGCCAGGGAATTGCACAGGGAGAGTTTACTTGTCCTGTGTGTAAGAAAGGCTTTGTCAGATTAGGAAAGACATTTCCTCTGTGTAGCCTAGACTGGAACGCGATCAATGAGGAGAAGATCAAGAAGTCAAGTCACCTCAAGGTCATTTTGAAAATAGCAGCTTTGTTGTTGAAACCTCCCTGAGCTGATTTTGGAGACATTGTTATTATACAGCAAAGGATAATTTTGCCTGTGGCTTTTGCAGATTACCTAGGTGAGCAGTTTTGGGACAACTGTTCAGATGAGTTTGGGTTTAGGACCAGCACTCTCTGATTGGCTTGCTTGAGGGATTTGAACTGGAGCGTAGAGGAGGGGTCCAGGCAAGGCTCATCTCTGGAGAAGGCCTGTGATCCCAACTGCTAGATTTGGAGCGAAAACTTCTCATTCACTCCATCATTGCCTCCAGATTACATTGTCTCTTCATATTTCCCTTTTAAGAGTGAAATGAAAGAAAAAAAGATAAAATATTATTCAGCAAAAATGTAAAAATTAAACAACTAGTAAACTACAAAACCCTAATGAGATAACCATCAATAATCAGAAGAACTCTAACTGCATTAAGAATAATTTTGGAAATACGTATAGAAAAAAGTGAACCTTGGTCTCACACCATATGAACATGAATTCCAAATGGGTCATGTTCCTAAATATGAAAAGTAAAACAAAGCTTCTACAGAAAACATTGACAATCTTCCTGGCCTTGGAATAGGCAAAGATACATGAGGATACAAAAAGCACTAATCAGAAGGATGAAATTCTAATAAATCTGATATTACAATTAAGAACTCCACCAAAGTACCAGTGAGATAATGAAAAGTCAAACCACGCAGTGGGAGAACTCCTGCAAAGGACTCAGGAATATATAAATAACTGTTACATATCAATAAGAAAAAGATAACATATTAGAAATAATCAAAAGATTTGAATAGGCATTTCACAAATATCCAGATGGTTAACAGGCATTTTTTGATAACCAGATTTGTTCAATGTCCATCATCAGGGAAATGCTAGCTAACCACTAACTAGATAACCAACAGGATGACTGAAATTAAAGACTGACAATACCAAGTGAGGATATGGAGCAACTAGAACTTCCATGCACTGATGGTGGGAGTGTGAATTGGTGCCACAAGGATAACAGTGCTTACCGAAGGTAGTATTGTAGAACCCTATTGACACCATCCCACTCCCACACATACACTTAACAGAAGTGTAGACAGTATTACAAGTACTTTCATACTAGCCTCATTCCTAATAGCCTCAAACTAGAAACAACCCGAATGTGCATCAGCAGTAGAATGGACAAATTGTGGTATATCCATACAATGGAGTCATAATGAAATGAACGAACTGCGGGTACACACAACACAGATGACACTTATAAATAACACCAAGCAGAAGGAGCCCGACAAGAGAAAATGTAATTGCATTTATGTGAATTTGAAGAACAGGAGATGACGGCGGGAAAGGCCAGAGTTGAAGGTACCTCTAAAATGATGCTATTGCCAGGGAAGGGGCATGGTGTTCCACCAGGGCTCTGGAATTCTGTATCTTCAGGGGAGTGATACTTACTGTTAGGTGTTGTTTGGAAAATTCATGGAGCTATACATTTAGAATGTATGCCCTTTTCTATAGTGTTTTCAATACATTTAAACAAAAAACAAGTTAAAAAGTATAAACCTGGGCCCAGGAGACATAGGGATTCCTATGGTCTTGGACAAAGCCCCTGCAGCTTTGTATACAGCCCTCACAACTGTCAGACTGAATTCCCACCCGTGGCCCAGAGTGGCTGAAAAGCGCCCCCCGTGGAACCGCTGAGCCAGCCTCTTGCCAGCTCCTGCAGCCTCTCAACAGTGACTTCAGCCAGTCATCATTTCTTCAGAAGCTGCTTTGTGTGGTAATGAAGAACCTGAGCCTGATGTAGATTTATTGCCACCGAATCAAGAAGGCAAAGACCACCCCTGCTAGGAAGGTGATGCAGGTTGTCTTGGAATTGCCCGGTACTGACTGGCAAGAGGGACCATCTGCTTCACAAGGCCTGCGTCACCATCCTTCTCGGCCCTGACGCAGGTCTGGCATGCCAGAGTCAGCTCCCGCTGGCCTCAAGAACAACAGCCGATTGTTAAGCTTTCAGGAATTTTGCAAGCTGGCTATTCAACACAACTATTATTGAAAACTGAATTATATAAATTTTAATTAAATAGTATGAAAAGCAAAGACAGTTATTTCCTGATTACTACAGTTGATTATTATTTATGCTTTGGTGTACGTAGTGTTTGTATGGTGGAAATAACTATAGAATGGGATTCTGTGCATCTCTTCCCAACTCTGTTCAATGGTGGAGGTATTTACACAGCAAAAATGGGCAAATGCTACATATCAAGACTCCCCCCTTCCACTACCCCCTGCCCCTGGAGAATCTGTGAAGGTAGGGGTTCTCTGTAGGAGAAACAGCTGGTGTGAGGGCACTGAGGCGCCCTTTATGCCTTTCTCAATGGCAGTTTCACATGCACAGGGACTAACAAACCCTTCTGAGATGGTTCCTGCTGGAGGAGTTCCTTCCTGCTGCTGTTCGGTGAGGGCCCTCCCTCTCGCTGCCAGGGCTGCATTCTGTCCACCCTGCAGTGTCTGGGGCACGCTGGCCCAGAGACAGACCCAGAGTCTGTTGAGTCAGCTTCTTTGTAATTCCTTCTCATCCCCTCCCAGCAGCCACTTTGTTCCCCCAACACTCGTGGCCCTGCTGCAGGTCCTCTGCAAAAAAACAAGGAAGGCAGCCCTTCCTGCCTGTGGCAAAGCCCTGTGTCAGGAGCATGCAGGTAAATCCAGAGCAGGTGTGCTTCAGGGGCATCAAGCAAGAAACAACCGTGAGGATGACTCCAGGCCGGAGGCAACTCATCTTACCTCCCCGCAGGGGGAACAGGGCTTGGAACTGGGCCAGCCCTCGATCTTGCCACAAGAGCCTGCACAACAGAGTGGTTGGTATTCATTACCCAGGCTTCTGTGGCAGGACACTTCAAAAAGAAAGGTTTGCTCTTTCTAACATGTGTTTTTGTGTCAAACAGAGATTTCATTGTTTTCAGCAAATACCTTGGGACTTGAGTGAATAAATACCATTCTGTTTTCTAACTCTTTTTGCCCTCTACTTTTCAGATGTTATGTATAAAGGCATTTTGCCTAATTCCTTCAGCCCTCTATTTCAGCTTCTGTTTATTTGGTGTGATAGAAAGGTCTTAATTTAGATCTCCCTGCTACCACTTCCAAGAAATCTGCCACCAGCTCCAAGCTTCATGTCCTGAAGTGCCACCCCATTCCGATGGGGTGAGCCAACAGCCTCCGAAAAGAGAAAGCAATTTGAACAGATGGACATTGTGCATCCGGACGCTGGCTGCTGCCCCAGCACCAGCAGGACTCCTGCTTTTGCTGGGGACTCGGAGGCCACGTTGCTTTTGCTTCCTGTTTCGAAACTACCCACAACCCCTGAATTGGCTAAACTTTTGGAAGCTGAGGCATAGCACTTTCTACAGCCCTTCCCTGTTGGAGACATGGCCATCCAGTCCTGAGTCCTAGACTTCTATGACACTGTAGAGCCTACATCTCCCTCCCCTCCTTACCCCACTGGGACCTCTCCTGGGGGATGAGCCTCATCCCCCACTTCCACCTCACATTTCCGGGAGCTTCAGTGCAGTCCAGCTGTTTGGTGGGCTGCTGAA